ACATGAGAATGGTGCAAAGTTTGTATTATAAATAAACGGATAACTTTTTTGTAGTTATATTATATATACATTTATATGAACATTGAACTAAATTCTATGAATAGTTAAGGAGAAATAATAATTTTGTTTGTTTAGTTATGTATTTTCCTCTATTAATAAATAATCTACCTCTAAGAGCTACGTTATTGTTCCTGATTTTTCCCACGTCTTTGGGTTTTCTATTATTCTTTTTTCAAATTTACTTACAACTTTTGTTCCCGGCGGGTTTTGAAAAATATTTTGTAGTCTTCCCGATACTCTTTCTTTTAAATTCCCAAATTTGTTCTACTGCTCGAGTAACTTTTTGATGAATTCTCCATACTTTTTTGCACAAACGCCGCGTTAATAAAGAGCAAAGCGTTTTATCGCTGGAAATCCTGTTTTTTTTAAGTTCTGCGATTTTCTGCCTTCCTGAGTTTTTCTCTCGTCAATTGTTCTGTTCTTCAATTTTCAATTTTATCAATAGTCATATATAAAAATATTTCCTAGTCATCCCGATACTTTTTGTGTCTTGAATTTGTTCTAAATGCTCTAGTAACTTGAAGATTCATATTATTATATTACGCCGCATATTAACACAGAGCAAAACGTTTTATCGCCGGAAATCCTGTTTGCTGGAGATTTGCGATTTTTTGCCGTCCTTTCGAATTTTTCTCGTCAATTTTTCGGTTCATTGTTCAATTTTAATGATATTAGATTATGCAAAAAATGCGCCTACCAACAACAACAGCAACAGCGTAATTAAAATATTTCAGTTTTAATCAGAACTATACAAATTTGAGCGAAGAAACAATTTGATGCCATTGGCTGTGTAACCGACCCGAAACAAACCCAAACAAACCCATCCAAACCCACGGACAAAAAGCCAACCTTTTCTCTGTACACTCACTTAAAGTACTCACGTAATTTTGCAAAATTCTACTTAAGAAAAATTTCCAATCTTCCAAATAATGTTCCAGAAGACTACCTGGACTACTCCCAAGAAAACAACCAAAACCACACGAATCTGCCGTCCTCATTGACGGTGAATCTTGAGGTGGTTCCTCAAAAGCAAGAAACCGTCATTATCTCAACAGAAGAAGCGAGAAATATGCTCAATCTGGAGCAAATTAAAGGTAAGTCTTCTGCAGTGGTTTCTTCGACTTTGCAACATATTTCTAGTGGAAGCTGTGGAAGTTATGGACACCAAGCCGGAGGTGAGTCTGCTGCCACTGGCCTTGGAGCCGGAAGTGAGTGCAGGCGTGCATTTTTTGACCGATGAGGATTCTTCGAAGAGCGAGGAAAACTACGAGAAGAAAAAATGGGAGTTTTTGGAGTACATGCCACAAGCCGATGGTTTGGTCCAACCCTCCACCTGATTTCCTGTGGTTTTACCAGCCTGTTTCAGGTAGTGTGGTTTGCAAGAGGTGCGGCGAAGTTTTGGCCTCCAGAACTCACTGGTACCGCCACAAGTACAAACTGCACGTAAACAGTTTGGGTTCTCCTTCGCCTCTCTTCAAATGCGAGCTTTGCAACGTTTTTTTCAAAAGCCGAAAGGGTTATATGGGGCATTATTCGAGCAGGCATAACGATACGGAAATGGTCGACCCAGCAGAGGTACCAAGCAGAATTTGAGTAGAGTCAAAGCATTATCTGATCGGCTTTGCAGGTGAAAGAGGATCCTCCGGAAAACAGTGCGGTTCCAACTTCACCGCCCCCAGTGGCGAAAAAAAAGTTATCGGACAAATCGTGCGATTGGGAGGAGAAGAGGCTAAAGGAGGAGAAACTGGTGGCCGATATCATTAACCGAGTGAGGAGAGAGTGTGAGGCTCAAGGGGCCATCGGCTCGCGCCGAGGCTACAGCAGAAGAACCACGTCTCTTATGAACGTGAACTCGCAGGCCTGTTAAAGTTAGCAATAATCATTTCAAAGTCGTTCGGTCGAAATATGTGTCTTCCTAGTTTTCTTCCATTTTTCGTAGAATGTTTGAAACGACTTTTGATTAAGTTTTTCCATTACCAATCTCGCAAGAGACCGGAAATAGTGAAATGCAACTATGTGCCAATGAAACATGCCAAAATGAATCTATGTATTATATTGTATATACAGTTCCTGTTTTAGATAAGTATACCTCATATACTTCCATTGCTAGATGCAGCGCAATATCAACAGTCATTTTCAAGTGAGTCTTTTTAGCGTCAAAAACGTAAATTTAATAACAAATTACTATATTTTTATTGTAATATACGATAAACTTAAGTGCTAGGATTAGCGTTCTACTTGTGCCAGCTCATATTTACCATTCATATGTATACATCTACTAGACAGAATCATCATTTGCTCAAACAGCAAGCAAGTTTTTCATTTTATTTCAGCATTATTTTCGATCAACTGTTGTATATACATGTTATACCTACTCAATGTGAATCAAGTAAGTGATATTAGGCTAGCATTTTATGGTTTGTGTTAATGGTGTTTTCCAAACGAGAATTTGCTCATTTTGTTGAAGTTGTGTGAAATTATTTGGGTTGTTACAATCAAGATTTTCCTATTTTATTCATTAATTAGACAGTATTTGTACCTAATATCAAATAAAGTTATATACATCCTACAAATTGAGAGTTTTTGTGTGAAAAATAGATCAATAGTTGAATGAAATTAAAAGAAAATATAACTTACAAGACCGGTGAGTCAGATTCTGGAAGCAAATAGTGGATCAAAACTTCCATATTTTGACCAACTTTACCAAATCGGTCAAAATCAGGGTTCGGGGCGATTTAGCTGAAATTTTCTGGATTTAGAGATTCAAATGTCGTCTAGCGCGTGTGAAAGTTCCAAATGACTGCTTGCTCTAGATTGGAAGTTGCGATTTTTTAAAGCAACGAGTGCATTTAGGTGAAAAAGTCCATTAGGAAGCCAAATTTTTCCAAGTCGGTCAAAGTCAGAGTTTGAGGCGATTGATGGGAAATTTTCTGGATTTTGAGATTCAACTCTCGTCTATGGACTGTGAAAGTAGCAAGTGTCTACTTGCACTAGATTGGAAGTTACTAGTTTTTGAAGCAGAAGGTGCATTTGATGGAAACTCTCATTTTTTGGCCAACTTTTCCACGTCGGAAAAATTCAACTATTAAAGTGATTTACTCAAAATGCTTCGAGTATTGAGATTCAACTGTCTTCTACAGACTGTGAAAGTTTCAACTGTCTAGATGTTCTAGACTGGAAGTTGAAGTTTCTTTTAAGTAAATAGTGCTTTTGGACAAAAAGCCATTTTCATGCCTATATTTTTTTTATAACCTAGAGTTTTTGGCAAATTAGCAGGAATTTTTAGGAATTGGTGCTTCAACTATCAACAATAAACTGTAAAAGTAGTCAGTATCTGCTTGCTCTAGGTTGGAAGTTAGGATTTTTTGAGCAAGAAAGCAAAAAGTGCATTTTGTCGCAAACGTCGATTTTTATGATAAATTTGCAAGTCGGAAAAAACCAACAATTCAAGTTATTTAGGGGTAAAATATCTACTATTTTGAGACTCAACTGTCGTCTATGGACTGTGAGAGTTTCAAGTATCTGGTTTAGCTAGATTGATTGTAGGGAATTTTTTGAAGCAAAAAGTGGATTTGGTCGAAAAATCCCTTTTTGTTGCCAACTTTTACCAAGTCTGCAAAAGTCGAGGATTGCGGCCATTTGAGCAAAATTTGAAAAATGTCGAGGCTCAATTGTCTACTACAGACAGTGAAAATTTCAAGTATCTGCATCCTCTAGATTGAAAATTATAATTTTGTGAAGAAAATAGTGGTTGTTGGCGAAAATGTTCATTTTTATGCCAACTTTTCCAAGTCGAGCAGAGTTGCGGGGCGATTTGTGCGATATTTTTCCCATTTTGAGATGCACCCGTCACATATGGACTGTGAAAGTTTCAACTATCTGCTTGCCCTAGATTGAAAGTAGATCATTTTTGAAGCAAAAAGTGGATTTAGTCGAAAAATCCCGTTTTTGCGAACTTTTACCAAGTCTGCAAAAATCGGGGACGGGGGCGATTTGAACAGAATTTTCAAAATGTTGTGGCTCGAGTGCCGTCTACAGACTGTGAAAGTTCCAAATGACTGCTTCCTCGAGGTTGGAAGTTATCATTTTTTTGAAGCAAATGGTGCCTCTGGCCCAAAAACCCCATTTTTAGACCAATATTTACAAAGTCACAAAAATTAGGGTCTGAGGTGATTTGGGCTTATTTTTCTGGGTTTTGAGATGGAGCTTCTATAAACTGTGAAAGTTTCAAGTATATGCGTGCTCTAGATTGGAAGCAGGAAATATTTGAAGTAAAAAGTGCAGTTTGTCGAAAACGCCCATTTTTATGGCAAATTTTTCAAATTGGCAAAAATCAGGGATTTAAGCGATTTGGTCCTAATATTTAAAATTTTGAGGCTCAAGTGTCGTCTACGGACTGTGAAAATTTCAAGTGTCTACTTGATCTACGTTGGAAGTTGAGAGTTTTTGAAGAAAATAGGGCTTTAGACCGAAACGCCTTTTTTAATGCTAACTTTACCAAGTCAGTCAAAATCGGGGTTGGAGGAGATTTGTGCGGTATTCCAGGGATTTTGAGATTCGATCGTCTGTAATGAACTGCGAAAGTTTCAAGTACGTGCTTGCTCTAGATTGGAAGTTAGTATTTTTCAAGCGAAAAGTGCATTTTGTCAAAATCGCCCATTTTTACCAACTTTCCAAGTCGGAAGTTATCAAAAATTCAAGTGATTTGCTGTTAAAATATCTATGATTTTGAGACTCAACTGTCGTCTATGAACTGTGAAAGTTTCAAGTATCTGGCTGCGCTAGATTGATTGTAAGGAATTTTTGAATCAAAAAGTGGAATTGGTCGAAAAATCTCCTTTTGTTGTCAACTTTCACCAAGTCTGCAAAAATCGGGGACGGTGGCGATTTGAACACAGTTTTCAATATTGTGAGGCTCGAGTGTCTTCTACAGATTGTGAACGTTTCACGGATCTGCTTCTTCTAGATTGGAAGTTGGAATTTGTTGAAGAAAATGGTGCCGCTGGGCCAAAAACACCGTTGTCCATTTGAGCCAAAATCAGGGATTTGTGTGATTTGAGCCAAATTTTCAGGACTTCCAGGCTCAATTGTCTTCTATGCATTGTGAAAGGTTAAAGGATTCCTCCAACCCAATCTCTTTACTAAAAACTTTTTGAAAACCCTCTTATACGGATCGTAAAAAGGAGCCGTAAATGCTATCAGTGTTTAGACACATAAAACCTTGTGAACTGGAAAAAATGTAGCTTACAAAAAAATCAGCAACTAATTTTTCAGTAGCTGTTTAGTCGAATGGCGCCACTCGCAATTGCTATCCTACCGACTGCTCCAATTCAAACTTCATCGAATCAAACAAATTTTGTCTAATTTTTCATGATTTCGATGATTTTTTAATGCATGTCGCTATCGGCAGCTTTTGCCCCGTTAAGTAAACCGGATGACTTTAATGAGCTGCACAAAATGAATAAATTTTCGGCTCCTAGGCCAGAATAGACCTTGTTTGCGCTACCTGTCGCGGCATTTTCAGGGCGCATTTTCCTCTTCGCTGAATTAATGGCAGAAGCTCTCGTAGGAAGGATATTTAATATTCACCTAAACGCGTATATAAACTTTCGAAACTTCCCAATCAGCCTCAGTAGCACGTTGTCAGTAACAAGCATTGAACAGGCAGTTACAAGAACAGCGAAAATTTTCATAGGTAAGTACTTAGGAGGGATTAATGAGCCACCAAAGCAGTCCTTTTCCATGCTGTAGATGATGAAATTCACTCTACTTCTTTGCCTGCTGAGCTGCTGCGTGTCCATCTTCAGTGCCCGCTTACCGAGAGATTTCAGCGTCTGCAGGACTTCCCATAACAGTCACCGCTACTCACGATCGATCATCGCAGAGCGGATTCGGACGCAGATTTGCAATCCGGACATTGAATATTCTTGGTGTGGGATTGTGGGCAAAGTCATGCCCATTATGTGTGTGTTTTTCAACGAACCAACCACTTCACTGGTGAAAAGAACTTGTAAGTATCCAGCTAATAAAACAAGGAAAAATTCGTTGTTTAAAATGTATTTTTACATGCTAAACCTTTTCAAGTAGTGTATGCAGAGTGATCCAAATTTAGGGTGCACAGTTGCGCTTGTTTTTGCAATTTACGAATTTTTCAGTTTTTTTTACAGCTTGTTTTAGCTTCATGTAAGGGCATAAAGCTTCATTATAGCTCTACATGATGATTTTTTTGGATATTTAGATACAGACAACGTGCTGAGAGAGCTAGAAGACTTATCAGAACCCTGGAACAGTTATGAGGATCTACTGGATCAACGAGAGGTGAATCTGGACGGGTTGAGCATGAAGCCTAAAAGATACCAGAGTGAGCCCAACACCATCGGACATGAATGCTGCACATACAACTGCTCGGCCAATTACATTTTGGATCATTACTGCGGCAATTAGAGTTAACAGTGAACATTTGCTTCCTTTAAAGCTTAAATTTTAGTTTGACAAATAAAGCACTTTTTCTGCAGAAATTGGCGTTTCCATTTATTATTTTAAATCTCGGATAAATTGAGCAGATTTTCCAGTTGCTTTCGTTTCGATCGACTTCAAAGCGCAAGTAAAACACCGCCAGACCGGCGCTTTTGTCGCAAAGGTCCCTTAATTTGCCCTGTTTCACTTTATTGGACAATCAGAACTAATTAAGTTTCTGTCCTATGTCGGCGCTAAACGAAGATGAAAATTAGAAGACGAAACTGCTTAAATCCGCTGCCTAAAGCTCTTAGACGAAAGGGTCGCGAACTAACTTTAATCGGTCAGCTTTCAAATTCACTCATTAACTCCGAGGAGTTTGTTTAGGTACAGAGTCTACCGACTCGAAGGCTTTATAGATTGCGCTAGATTGGAGCCAGTAAAAGAGTCTCTTTTACATCTTATGCCTTTAGAGTTTAGCATTTAACGATGGAGTTTCGCTTTCTAGAAGAAGTGATTTTTTGGTTTGTTTCTCTGAACTTTTTTGAACATCAATGGGATTAACCTGAGCAAGAAAACTGCTTGCTAATTTTTATATAATTTATTTAACATTTCATTAGACTAATTTTGTACACACCATTCATTCGATAATTACAAAGAGGCGGTTGACAAAAAATTGGATTTCTTGGAAACCGATCATGCATTCCTTAAGTATCACCTAAGTATGAAGATTTATATACAATATCTACAGAGTATGCACTGTCCACCGGGAATTAGTACAGCGGATGGGCATTTTAAGGATAAGTTTGTCTTTTAAAAATAATATCCGTCGGTTTGGACGGCACAGACTGATAGCAATTGAATTCAGAAAAATTAGGAACTAAACTTTGCTTCAAATGAATCTTTTTCAATTTAAATTGAGTCATTGGTCTGGGAAATTGAGGCTGGATAGCCAGTTTCCGAAGGTGCAAAGGAATATCAATGCTTCGGTTTTGTTTGAAAAGCGATGCAAAGCAGGAGCTACAAAGTCTAGAATTGTTGATTTGAATCAGCAGCTTTTCGACCAGCCGGACTCGATTTTGTGCAGTTTGCTGGGTTTTTGAAAGGAATCGAAATTCTATCGCTTTTGATGAATGAACTCTTTTCTTTTCATGCGCTTCTATTCTGAGGTGCGTAGCAAATTTTCTTTGATGGTTTTAAGGAAGTTCCACTTCACCAGGGGAATAAATCCAAAACTAACCAATTTCGACCAACATTCCCCTGCTGTGGATGAACTGGAAACTCGACAAGAAAAAACTAGACGATAGTTTGCTTTAATTCCATAAGAACCAGTGATTTCAGTTCGCCTCACTTCTGCAAGGCGCGCGTTCTTTTACAAGAGTCTCACTGTCTAATTCGCTTCATTGCTTCGGAAGGCTGTCTTTCTGCAGAAACTCTGAAGAAACGGCTGTGGCTTAAGCGAAACTTTGCAGGTGATAATTGCCAATGAGGGAGCATATTTTGCAAAAAAAACATTAGTTCCAAAGAAAAAAGTTCTCTTTAAATTTGATCGCAAATGAAAGACAGAGTTTACAAAGCTCCAATTGCTTCGCCTGCATAATAAGTCGCTGCCAACCAAATCAGAATATAACGCTCCTATAATAAGCCTCTTAAACCAGCTGCAACCTCAATTTCCTAGAGCCTCAGAAAAAACCGTAAACAAGTGGAGATATTGGTCTGTTTGCAACGGACATCACAACACAGTAGTGTTTACAATACCTTAATATTTACACAATAGTCAGCACTATCAACCCTCCTTCTAGTGCTGCGACTCAATTAACAAAAGGTGCGATTAGAAAACTTTACAAGTGTCGCGAACTCCCATAGAGCGCCTCCCATTGAGCAACAGTGTTCGTTATTGCAAATCACAAGTAAACATCCTCTTGTCACACGCGCAGTTCCTCCATTGTAGTGTTCTGTTTCGCATTAAGCTGCGTGTTCTTTTTCGTCAAGGTCCCAGTGGTGATCAGCTGTATGCTGTGGGCGCTGAGCAACGGCTGGTTCTCCTGCACATTCCGCGAACTCAGCGTGTTCACATTGGAYTTGTTCACCTTGCCAGSAGGTGGGGCGTGTCTTGGTAAGGTGGAGTTGTTYTGGGGAAGATCGGCGAATTCGGGCGGTGGAAGCTGATGGTGGGAGTGGTGGTGGCCCAGAATGGTGGCCGGATCTCCCTTCACTCCTATTATGCTYGACTCCAAGTCGCCACAGATATTGTTGGGCATCTGCCCGTTCTCGTTGCGCTTCTTCGGCTGGTGGCCACCGTTTTCGTTCATCCGCGATTTGTCGCGCTGGTAGTAGACGCCCGCAAAGATCAGAACGTTGAGAATCAGCAGCGAACATCCTATGGCGATGGTCACGCTCAGAGCGGTAGAATAGGCGGCAAACCCATCCTCAACTGCCCCCTGAGTAGTACTGATTCCACCTAGAAACATACTGATTAGGCAAAAACTCAAGCAATCCACAATTTCACTCAACAAATCACATTTAGACATGTTTGAGACAATTT